TGGTGTTCTCTGCTGAACAATGTAACCAGCTCCGTATGTGTGTATTACCTGTGGAAAATGACAATCAAAAGCAGACCACACTTCCTCTTCGCGAACTTCGGGAAAAGGCAGACACACACCCAAACAATTACAGCTGCTGGCTCATTGTTATCTGGAGACTAGACAGAAGGAGTATGGGAGAGGACGTCCAGTTAGCTTGAGGGGTGTCGGTGAGCGATCCGCAGAATGCTGGAAGCTCTGTCATCAGCTTGCCAGGCCCAAAAGAAACACAGTGAGAAGGGACGATGCTGAAACTGCAAGGAGCCAACAGAGCCAGGCCACATAAAGAAGATGCCTTGTGTGCCAAGACGTAATAGGAGATGGGTGGCTATTACAGAATTTTCAGTGAGGACTGGCCTGTTCAACTTGCTGTTTAGAGGGACTCTGGCAGGGCGATGGAGGGCTAGATTAAGAGGGGCAGGTGGGGGTGCCAGGATCCCAGGGATGAGGTTAATACAGGCTGGGTGGTGAAGGCAGATGGTTGACCTGAGACGGGGAGGCGGGGAAGGGGAGATGGCGATGGGGAGTCAAGCGGAGACTTGTCTAGCAGGGGCCACAGTGTGTATGGTGACCATGTACAGATCCAGTTCTGCGGCTCCTGGTTTTCTCACTCTGGCATCTTCTGCACATTCAGGGCCCCGGACACCCCTGGCAGCTGGCAGGATGGGTCTGGAGGGGCCACTTCCTGGTCTGCCTGCCTGCCTCCTTGCCCCAGGTTCAGCTCACAGGGGCAGAGGAAAGAGAACAGAAGATTCTCCCTCGCCATCCAACTCCTAGGTCTCTCTTATTTATTCCACGCTCTCTCCCGATTCGGGTCCTCTCATTATTTTGAGCTGTGCAGCCTGCTGCTTCCCTGGCTGGGCTCTCCCTCCCCCGTCTGCGAAGTGTCAATCAAGCCATCAGATGGGCAGTTCAGCCTCACATCCTCGGTGGCTCTGCCCCAGGACACGAGCCGCAATTGCTGACACACAGCCGGGCGTGGGGTAGGGCTGCCGGCTCTTTCTTTAATAGTCTTCCGATCCAAAATGGGTGTTAAAATGGAATTTGAGGGGATCTCTTCTCTCCGCCTGCCCCTGTCAGGACAGCCGCAAGGACGGGGCAACCCTGAGAGAGAAGGGGAAGACTTCAGAAGCCGATTTCCTTTTCATTTCAAGGTTGGGCCACGGCCAGTGTCTGCTTTCGGAGGAGCTGTTTGAAATTCTTAACAAGAAGCGGATGCTTGCGTCCAGGAATCCAGGGCAGCCTTGTGAAGTGACGGTGGGGGAATGGAATTGTCATTTTATTTCTGAAGGGATAGTACGTTAAACAAAGGAGAGGTGGGACATATAGAGCCGCTTTGTAGCTTCCCTGGAGAACGAACAATAAGAGACGGTTGGGGAAGGGGGGAGGGGGTGGGCAGCAGGAAGAACTGAGATTCGAACAAAGAAAGAACTTCCCCCAGCCCTGGAACCAGTGACCGAGGAGATCTGAGGAATCTGCTTCCCCGGGGGATTCCTCCCTCTCCTTTTACAAATTGTGAATGGAAGCTCAATTTTGATAGGACGGGGAAACTAATGAGCATTAATCTCAATTACTGTGCCGAATTCTCTTTAGATCTTTGATAACACGCACACACATAACTCCTGGTTGCGATCCGAGTGTGTGTATTTGTGCTCTGTTCTTTTTCTTAGGATGATCTCATACATACGCACGTTTCGATGTAGCCCACAGTCCTCAGCTTGTCATTTTGAACCGCTCCATAGTATTCCGTTGTGTCAACCCGCCAGATTTGCTCAGATATTCCCTGTGGCTGGGTTGTCTCCAGTTTTCTATATTGTAAGAGCATGGCTATGAATGTCTTCATACAGATGTCTTTTTCTTCCCTTGGATATTTCCTTGGGGTATAGTTCCCCAAGTCAGATTTCTAGGTTGGAGGGTTTGAACCATTCTACTGTCCCTGAACGCTGCCCCTTACTCTCCCGAAGGCCCAGACAATCCGAGTCGCCACCCTATTCTCTCCCCTTCCCCACGGCACTGACAACATCAGATTTTGTCATTGTTACTTATTGTTGCTCATTTAATAGGCACATAATCGTACCTTGAAGTTAATAAATTCCTATCTCTTTCATTGCTAGTGAGGCTGGGCACACTTTCATGGGAGGATTTATTGTCTGCTTCTCCTTGTGTGTAGACGGTTCATCTCCTCTGACACCTTATCAAGAGAAATCTGGGGACTGACCTTATATATTTGTATCAAGTCTTTACATACTTAAATAGTACACTTTTTCCCGTTGTGTCTACCATTCTTTAAGGGAGCCGTCCAACTGTGAGGAGGGTTGGGGTTGGGGGTGAGGGTGGAATTGAGATGACTTTTGGATTCTAGAGTGGTTTTTTTTTTCCATAAGAAAAAAAAGAGCCAGTCATATGGTACCCCTCTTCCGGACCCCCATTTTCCTAGTAAAGGAGGGGCTGGGCTGAGAGGACAGCCGGTTGCCAAGGCCACTCTGGGGCATCCTTTGCTGGGGGCGGGAGCAACCTGGGATCACATGATCTCCTGGTCCAGTGTTTTTTCCCACTCACAGTACGGCCGTGAAAGAAACAGCAAACTGTTATTTATGTATGTACGTATGTTTATTTATTTTGAGAGAGAGAGAGAGAGAGAGAGAGAGCTCTTGTGCACAGGGGAGGGGCAGAGGGAGAGGGAGAGAGAGAATCCCAAGCAGGCTCTGTGCTGCCAGCATGGAGCTCAATGCGGGGCTCCGTTTCAGGAACCGTGAGACCACGACCTGAGCTAAAATCCAGAGTCTGACACTTAACCGACTGAGCCTCCCAGGTGCCCTGAAACAGCCAACTATTTAAATCAGAATCATCATTATGAGTTCTGACCAATCCCCAGTACAGCACAGTGGTTAAAGGAACAGGATCCGGAGCAGATGACCCTAGGTTCACATCTCGGTGCTTATGTTTACCAGGCGTGTGGCTTTGGGTGAGTCGTAACCTCCATAAGCCGTAATGTCTTTGGCTGTAAAAGGGGTGTTTCAGTCATGGCTGCATAAAAAGCTACCCCAAAACTTAGTGGCTAAAACAACAACTGTTTTATTCTATCTCACGATTTTGTAGGTCAGGAATTCAGATGGGGCTTGGCTGGGTGATTCTCTTTCATGTGTCATTAGTTGGGTCACTCAGCGGTATTGAGCTGGCGGCTGGGCTGGGCTGGGGGAGGGGGACATTCAAGATGGCTTCGCTCTTTTTTTTTTCTTAACATTTATTTATTTTTGAGAGAGAGAGCGTGAGTTGGGGGTGGGGGCAGAGAGGGAGGGAGACACAGAATCTGAAGCAGGCTCCAGGCTCTGAGCTGTCAGCACACAGCCTGACGCGGGGCTCAAACCCACGAACTGTGAGATCCTGAGCTGAAGTCGGACGCTTAACCGGCTGAGCCACCCAGGTGCCCCAAGATGGCTTCACTCTTATGTCTGTCTCCCCTGCAGTCTCGGGGCCTCCCCGCAGGGTCTTTCCCGCAGGGCGGTTGGACCTCTAACATGGTGGCTCAGAGCTCCAAGAGGGAGTCTCAAGGACAAGAAGAAGAAGCGCTCGGTGTCTTATTAAGGCCTGGGCTAGAAAGTGTCCCAGTGTCATTTCTGCCTTACTCTATTGGTCACACAGTCACAGAGCCTCTGATGGGAGGAGTGACCATGAATTTGGGACCGTCTTTAATGTGCCCAAAGTGGGGATAAACATGTGTCCACGTGTCCTTCTAAGGCTGCAAGGGTTAAACAAGGAGATGCGTGCAGAGGCCGATTTACCGTGAAGCTAATGACACTTCAACCACGGGGCTCCTTAACTGGATGGTCTCTTCCTAGTCCTGGCATCTAATTTTGTATTCATGACTTTTCTTTTCTCTTCCTCTTCTTTCTTCCTTCCTTCCCTCCCTTCCCTTGCCTTCCTTCCTTCTATTATTTTTGAGAGAGAGAGAGAGACAGAGAGAGAGAGAGAGCAGGGGAGGGGCAGAAAGAGAGGGGGACAGAGGATCAGAAGTGGGCTCTGTGCTGACAGCAGAGAGCCTGATGCGGGGACGGAACTCACAAACTTCGAGATCATGACCTGAGTCAAAGTCAGACACTTAATCAGCTGAGCCACCCAGGCGCCCCTCCTTTCTTTTTCTTAAAGAAGACCCCCAAATTGTATAAGAACCAGGCCCTACAAATCCTAGCTCTGTCCTGAATACATGTAAAAGTACTTACTTAGCACACTGCCTGGCACAGAGGGCGCGTTCCCTACAGGGCCCCTCCATGCCCCGGGCTGGTGCCTGGTCCCCTCTCTGTGCCTCAGGACAAAGCTCCACCTCTCTGTCCTTTCCATTTGTTCCGGATAATTTCTTCTCCTTTGTAAAAAGTGAAAGTAAGACATGCTGAGAATAATTTCATAATCACAAAACTGCCCTCCCGTTTTGTTTCCTGCGTCTACCCCCGACCTTGCACCCCACCGGGGAGGTGGGTCTTACCCTGGGCAGAGTGCCAAGTTCTTAGCTTGGCCCTCTAGAATCTCCAAAGGAAATCAGGCGGGAGGGAGGGAAGCCAGCAGGGGGAGGCAGCATTCCTGGTGCCCAGCTCGGTCTAGGAGGCATTGAAATTCCAGGGCCGAAGTCCGGAGACAAAGATCATAATGAGACAGGAAGGTGGCATGGGAAGGAGCCATTTGCATGACAATAATTGAGCCAAGAATAGAAAGCTAGAGGGATACAAGGGTGAGGCTGGCAGCTGAGCTGGGCTAAACCTCAGATCAGACTACCCAGCTCCACTCTGCAGGAGAGGTGGGGACTGAGCCCTATGCCAGGTTTTGCGGGGAGGGAGGGGTGGGGAGAAGGATGCAGCCCAGGGGATTGTGGGAATGCTGGCCAGGCTGGACTTTGCCCTACTCCTCCTCCTTCAGCCCAGAGGCTTCTTTGTGTGCGGGCTTTGTGGCTGTAGGACTAAGTGGGCATTATGGCTGCTCAGAAAGATCTCTGTGATGCCATTGTGATCGGGGCAGGCATCCAGGGCTGCTTCACGGCATACCATCTGGCCAAACACAGGAAGAGGGTCATCCTGCTGGAGCAGGTACTATGTTCCCCCTGCACTCCCGACCTTAGGGACGGTCCCTCTCTCCTCCCCTAGAGAGAAGTTTCCAGAGCCAGCAGACTTTGGAGTGAGGTCTGATTGTCAAATTCTGTGCAGTTTGCGGCTTTGCTGCCTAGTGTATTTCGTGACAACGCAAAGAAACTTCCACCGTCCCTAAGACCCACACTGGGTTTCCAGGCTCATTGCCTCCTCTTACTGCCTCCCGGTTCCTGCCCTTGATGGAGAAGTGTCCGAGGCCCTGTTCTCTTCCTTCTTGCCAGTCAGTTTCTTCTGTGCCTTTTAAAATGGTTGATCCGGTCCGGAAAAATAATCAGTTCTGCTTTGGGTAACCTTAAGTAAAAATAATTTTGCCCAGAGGCAAAAGCTGATTTGTCAGCCTAAGAGGTAGGATTCTTCCCTGGGTATTCCTGGCCTCTCACGCTGGAACCCAGCAGAAGCTTCTGTTGCTTTCTGTCACCTCTGGTTGATGGCGGCCTTATTGTTTGATACACAGGCAGGACGACTTAGGTCTTATTTTTCCCTGTGGAAAAGGTGACCCCACGTGGGGCAGTGTACCTTGACCACGGCACATGTGGGTGGGCCCTGTGAGTCTCCAGGGTCCTTCCCTGGGCAGGTCCACCCAGCCCACCTTCCAGAGTCCTCTATCCTCCCATCCTCTCTACAGCTATCCAGATGAGTTTTGATTTACCCTTCTTGGTAAATGAGCTAGATTGGTTAGAAACCTTTTTCAGCTTCTCTATCAGTTTTCTCAAAGCCTGAGGGATTCCTGGTTTAACCTTGCAGGAAACTCTCCATCCTCTGCTAAATCCCAAGGTGGCTCCCTTGTCCCGAGTGATCTGAAACCACAGAGAAATAGCATCTGCTTCCTTGTCCGTAAGATGAAGGGGGCTAGACTGGAATGATCTCAAAGGTTCTTTGTGGTTCTGTTTCTCTAGGAGACTAGGTGGGGTGGGGTTGCAGCAAGATGACCAAAGGCTAACTAACGAAGGGACTTTGGGATGTGAATAATGTTAGCAAAAGGGAAGCTGAGTCGGTGCTACTGAAAACTTCTGTGCCGATGGCTAAATCAGTAACTTGGTCGTGAAGGGAGACTGAATGGAAAGATCTGAACGTGACGAGCTGGCTCCAGGGGGTGGGGATGAGGGGCGGGCAGCGTAAGGGGTAACAGCTTCGGCTGTCTCTCTTGTTTTCCGTCTCCAGTTCTTTCTACCGCACTCCCGAGGAAGCTCCCATGGGCAGAGCCGGATAATCAGAAGGGCATATCCTGAAGACTTCTACACCCAGATGATGGATGAGTGCTACCAGATATGGGCTCAGCTGGAGCATGAGGCTGGGACCCAATTACACAGGTTTGGGTGTGGGTGGGAGAACTCCTTGAATCGTGGGGCCCAGTGCCTGGGGGTGCTTGGAGTCTGTGAGGGGGCACCGCCATCAACACTTGAAATGTGGTGCAGGGACACAGGGCCCAGGGGAGTGCCAGACACGTGGAAGTATTGTGCCCACTGTCATGACGATTGCCCCACAGGGCCAGCTGGCTCCTGCCTCACTCTGAGCTCCAGGACTGGGGTCAGACACGTGTTCGAGGCTGGCAGAGGTTGTACTGGGAAGACTGCTGAAAAGGCACTGGGAGCAGATCTCCAGAGCTGGCTCCATGGAGCCATCTGAGACTCTTTTAGGGCAGAGATTGAAATCAAGGAGGAGGCTGCTGTCTTGATTTTTTTTTTTTAATGTTTATTTTTTTCTGAGAGAGAGAGAGAGAGAGAGAGAGAGAAAGCACTAGTGGGGGAAGGGCAAAAAAAGGGGGAACAGAGGATCTGAAGCGGGCTCAGTGCTAACAGCAGCGAGCCCTACGTGGGGCTGGAACTCATGAACCGTGAACTGCGAGATCATGACCTGAGCCGAAGTTGAATGCTCAACCGACTAAACCACCCAGGGACCCCTGTCTGGATTCTTTATATTCCTGCTAATATCATAGCCCTTCATGCTGGATCCTCATCCCCAGAGTGACCCCTGTAATCCATGCATTCTCTCTGAATGCCTCTTCCTATAGGCCTCCTCTTCAGGCCCCGTGGCTTGCTGGAGATCTCGATTGTTCCCGTGGCTCTCTAACCCTTAAGACACTGTTGCCCCCCCACCCAACCTCCACTGACCTTTCAAACACCCACGGGGAGGAAGGCAGACAACCCATCATGCGCAGAGAACTTGAACCACCCACCCCACATCCCCTCCCACCTTCTCTGTGGCTCTTAACTGAACTTTCTACAAAATCACGGCTCTATCCTACAGGGTGGCAGTTATTTTAATGGCCAGGAACCAAGAGGTTACTGTTCTGTTGCAAAAACACCATTAACTTAAGAACAAAGTGAAATCCATTATGCAAATACGGCTAGGACAGCTAATTACAGATTTATTCCAGAGGCAGCGAATGCACCCAGCACCCAAATAAAGGAGCATGTCTTGCTGAGGGGTGGCCTGGCAAAGGGACCCCTCTCTGTCAGCCATCTGTGAATACAGTCTGGTAGTAAAAGTGCCAAGGCCGTGGAGGGACCACTTCTTCCCAGCAGACACGGAGGCAACTAAGATGTTGGGACAGTGATGTTACGAGAGTGTCTGGAACCTTTCAGAGGGAACATGGTTCGGGAGACAGGCTTGGACTTGACTTTGTGCTCTACCTCTTACGGACTGCGTGACATGGGAAAAATTTCTATACCTCTCTGTGCCTCATTTTTTCCTCACAGAGCTTCGTGGGGATGAAACGAGACTCTTAGGAAGTACTTGGCATAGAGCCTAGCACCTTCTGATAAGTGGCAGCTCCTACGACCTCTTCCGGGTCAGCGGTATCCTATCTGCATTGCACGAGGCAGGAAGAAGGGCAGGAGGAGACACGTGGGGCGTAGCAACCATGGACAAACCGCTGCTGGAGAGAGGGAAAGGAACCGCTGGGTAGGAGAGTCTCATAATCTCACAATCCTTTCCTTGGCAGGAATCTGGAAGGGCTTTGGGACCAGGCCGACCTGCTCTACACGTCAGCTCCGACACATTTAGCTATATGGTTTGCAGCAAGCCGTTTAACTCTACGAGACTCAGTTTTCTCATCTGTAAAGTAGGGGTATCTATTTCATGGGGCTGCTGTGAGGATACGTATGTGAAGGGCTTAGAGTAGTACCTGACAAGTCCCTCGTCATCATTGACACCATCATCACCTATTTAATGCTTGTGATAAGAAACTAAGGCTGTTTTATTTTATTTTATTTTATTTTTTTTTAAATTTTTTTTTCAACGTTTATTTATTTTTGGGACAGAGAGAGACAGAGCATGAACGGGGGAGGGGCAGAGAGAGAGGGAGACACAGAATGTGAAACAGGCTCCAGGCTCTGAGCCATCAGCCCAGAGCCTGATGCGGGGCTCGAACTCACGGACCGCGAGATCGTGACCTGGCTGAAGTCGGACGCTTAACCGACTGCGCCACCCAGGCGCCCCGAAACTAAGGCTGTTTTAAAAGGACTCAACACGGGTTAACTCATTTGTTTCTGCCCGCAGCCCTTTGAGAGATTTGTTACTGAGCAGTCAGGGTCCTATTAGTGCAAATCACAGGATTACTATACTCCTAGTTAGTCTAGAATAGGGCTTGGCGAACTTTTCCCGGAAATGGCCACATAGTATTTTAGGCTCTGCAGACCATATGGTCTCTGTTGTAACTATTCAGCTCTGCCAATTACCCAACTCCTGCCATTGTAGTGTGAAAGCAGCCACAGATGATATGTAAATAACTGAGCGTGGCTGGGTGCCAATAAAACTTTATTCACGGACGCTGACATTTCATATTCTCCTCATGTCATGAAATGTTCTTTTTTTTTTTTTTT